ACAATGCAAAATAGTACAGCGGAGAGAAAATAAAATATAGGAAGATACTTAATAGAAAAAGGATTAATGAAGACAAAGGGCAAGGAAACGGAAGAAGAAGAACGAAGACGTAAGACGTTGGGAAAAATTAAAAATAGAAAATGTGCAATGAATGTTTTAAAAAAAATTGATAGGAGAAATGTAAAACATAATCTGTGGAAGAAGAGGTAGGAAGAAAAAATATGTTTAATGTTTCTCAAATGATGTATGGTATAGTGTGAGGATAGGAATAGCTAAATACCCAACATACTTCCAATCTGTAAAGAGGGTATTTGAGGAAATCTTTAGAGCAATATTGATGTATATATATGTATATTTCTTCAAATATGAAGAGATAAAAGAACCAGTCGAAATGTATGGAATTGAATTACTGTTGCGGAATGGAATAAACATTTATATATGGCAAATGAAGAAAGCGGGATCCAATAAGTGCTGTAGAAGACAATGCTGGGAGCTGCTGAGTATAAAAAGAAGGCCAAACATTCAGAAGGAAGGTAAATTTAACAATGTTGGACAGGAAGATAAGAAATGAAAAAAAAATACTAAGAAAGTGAAATAAACAAATCCAAAATAGAGTACTTCGAAAAAAAAGATGTGAATTACGAAGAGAATTGTATTGAAAGATAGAAAATATCTTTAAATAAGAAAATAAAAGTAAAATAGAAAAGCAACAGCATAGAAAATGGTGCAAGAAAGTGGAAAGAATGAAGAGTTCCAAAATATTTACAGAAAATAAGGATGAAAAGAGTTGAGCACTTCGTAAAATTATTGGAAATAATTAAATGTGAAATTATCTGAAGTGGAGGAAATAATGGAAAATTACAGCAGTAAGAAAGTATAATTTATGTAATGAAACATGAAAACACAGAATGCATTAAAATATGTTTGATTAGACAAATGAAAGATGACCTGTGGGAGAAGGGATTGTTTGTTTGTCGAATTTCGCTATCTGCACTAACCATCACAGACACCTAGTCAACATCGCCCAATGTTAACTCTTGGAATTGCCGTCGCCCTCACGACTAAAGTGAGACCAGAGTATTTTGTGACAGGATTCTAGTCAACGACCTGCAGATTGTGAGCCGTGTTTACTAACCATCAAGCCATGTCAGGCATGTGAGAAGAGAGAGGAAGAAAAGACATGATTAAATGAAAACGCAAAAGGTGTAAAGGAGATATAGAAGCTGAAGCAAGAAACGAAAATAACTTCAGAGGAAACTTACTTTTATTAATTTGTATAATAATGTATGTCAACCACCTTCCATTCACACTATCATAGAGAAGTGAAATAAATTATTTTATTATTCTTATTGTCTGCTATCATGGCATATACCTTTCTACAAACATATATGCGCAATATTGCTCAATAAAAGTTTTTAAAAGTTTGATAATTAAACTTTGTGGTTGAATGATAAATACATTTTGATATTTTGAATTTTAGTTATTAGCACTTTTAATGGTATTCTTAGGCGTTTGAATGATTTACTAATATTTGCTTTTATAATGCAAAGTTGAAATGATTTAGATCAACAAGTCGAGAAATAGGATATATCTTAGTTCAGGTTTCTGCGATTCCTGCAATACTTTGAGATAAATAGGTAAACAAAACACTAAAAGGTTTACAAGTTTGTGCTTGATAGGTTTTAAATTGATCTAATCCAAAACGACCTGTTTCACAATTTTGCTAGTTTGTAAACGTAACGTTATCGGTAAAGACGTTTTTCTATAGATTTATAATTTTGGAAAGAGATCTATTTTGTTAATTATAACATGTAGCTAGTAACTGTTGAAAATGGTGCACCTGTTAACTAAAGGTAGATGAAGTGATGATTAATATTTCTTTTCAAATCTTTGAACATTTAATGAAGTATCACAGACATAAAAAGTAGCAATATTGGGACCCAAAATAATAGTTTTCATATGTAAAATTTTGTGGTGTTTGTGTAAAGTATACAGCATTATAAAAATACGTCACTGCTTTTTAATTTCTTTTAAACTGTGACAATATTTTTGTGAGTCAATGATGTGAAAACTAAGAATATGAAAGCCTACTCCTTTGAAGATTTCCTGATTACTTCTAACTTCTGTTGTTCTTGTTGCTGGTTCTTAAATGGGAACCTCTTAACATTTAATAACAACAAGAGCGAATCCTCAATAGCCGCGGCTGTAATTAGATCTCAAATCGGTTAAGAGTTGGAGCTATGAGCTAAAAAGTTTGTGCTTGAAGAAAAAAAAACTCGGAGCCATTCTATGAGCTGTTACGCCGAGGCTAAAAATAATTATTTTCTCATTTATGTACACATATGCTCTCTCAATTTATGTTATCTCTCTAGACAGTCTATTCTATAACAACGATGTAAATGTACATTGTGGAAATTTCCATAAAAACATCAACGGCATGTGATATTTGAAAATATTACTATGGATTCTAGGGCTGGTGCTTCGAGGTAACGTAGTAGCTAGTTGTAAAGCTTTACACTTGTTCTAACACTGTTAATAAAAAGCGTGATATCTAGCGGACTAAAGAATACTTCGAGGTGATTTAAAATATATGAATTGTAAATAACTTTTAATTATTTTTATCTACACAAAGAATTTTTTTTTTCATTTTTAAGACAAGTTAGAGAAATTTGGACACGCACTTAGTCTATTAAATGACGACAAGGAACATTTTAAGTTACTGTATAGACATCGTACAGTAATTTCTCACATTTTTATTAATATGTTTTCTTTTATCCACAGATGTGTTCACAACAATGCACGTTGTAGTGTTGCAATCTGAAATTATACTTATCCA